GTTGATCATGATGTCGACATCATTGCAGTTACAGAGACATGGCTTCAAGTAAATGATAATTCTCCAATCGCAGCTTGCCAACCAAGTGGTTACCGGCTCTTTTCATTTCCTCGGATTAATAGCAGAGGTGGCGGTGTTGCTGTTATGACACGATTTGCAACGAACTGCCGTAGACTTGACCAGTTTCGATCATTTGAAGCTTGTGAGGCCATCGTCAAGTTACCTTTGAAGACAATCACACTTCTTGTCATCTATAGGCCACCCCCTAGTCCGAACATGCAGTTTTTTTTTAGTTTTCAACTCTTGTGGAGCAGTACTCATTGCCCTCCAATGTCATAATTACAGGTGACTTCAACATACATGCTGATGATCCACTGAATGTGTATACGCTCCAGCTTTCAGATGTCCTCAGTTCATTCAATCTCACATTGCTCATTAATGTTGCTACCCATAAACACCAGCATACTCTTGATTTGATTATTACTAATAATCCTGATCTTATCACTAGTACATCCATTGATGCATACCCGTTGTCGGATCACTACATTCTTCACGCAAGTCTAGATGCCAACAAACCGTTTACCCGGAAAAAAGTCATCTCTTATAGAAAGTATGACAGGGTCGACCTTAACTACCTCCAAAGTCAAATTTCACAGAAGTTCTCGCACTTTACTGACTCAATGCAAATCAACTCAGCTATTGATGAGTATAATTCCTCACTCACATACACATCTAGATGTGTATAAGAGACAGTCCTCGTCCTTACTTTCGAGGGCTGCTAATATGTTTTGAATGTTTATTTAATATTTTTACTCTCCGAATTTCCAGCGTATGATTACCCTAGGTCTTAACTGAGAGTATTGTAAACCCGTGAATCCTACTATCTAATATGTTTGTGTTGCCAAGAGTCGCGATCCCGCGAACATACTGTGTTATGTTGTACCGAGTGTATGTCACATCCGGTAAAGGTCAAATGCGGGTCAGGTTCAGAAGGCGGAGCTTAGCGATACAGAACATTAAAATAGGTGATTTAAAACTCGTTTTTCAGAAAAACGCGTTATCTAAAAATAAACGGAAAGCCTCCGATATATTTATTATATAATTCTCATCGTTCCAACTCACCCAATCTGCAGTGTCTCCGCGTTGGTAATACAACGGTCACTCCATCACTGGAAGTCCGTAATGTTGGTGTGACTTTTGACAACACGATGTCTCTAAAGCAACATGTTACCAAAGTTTGTAAATCTGTCAATTATCACATCCGTAATATTAGGCAAATCAGACGTATTTGGGCTTCCAGATACTCTTATAAAAAAATTACAACTACATCTTAACTCGGCCGCACGTCTAATTAAGCTCACCCCAAAGTCACAGAACATCACGCCAAGACCTACATTGGCTTCCAGTTCGACAGCGTATAACTTCAAAATTCTTCTTCTTGTGTACAAATCGCTCCATAACCTATCACCCACGTACATGCAAGATCTTCTCAGACTACGCTCATCCACTGGTTCCCGAGCACTCAGATCAACTACAAGTTCATCAACTTTGTTTGTTCCTGGGTGCCGTTCGAAAACATATGGTGAGAGATCATTTCGTGTTGCGGCTCCAAAAATGTAGAATGCACTACCCGTTGAAGTCCGTGAATCAGCGTCAATTGACATCTTTAAAAAGCGACTCAAAACCTTTTTATTTGCCTCTTTATAGCTACTGTTTTCTTTTCTTTTTTTTCTTTTTATCTGTTTCACTTTGCTAGCTAGTGTTGTTTGTTCCAGGTTAGGAGGCACCTGATCCCAGAAAAGATCAACACTTAACCGATGCTAACCGGAGTACATAAACACAGATCTCCGGTTGGCGGTGATGGTGTAACCCCATACTTCGGTTTGGGTGCTAGCTTGGTGTTTTTTTTCCCGGCTTTTTTCTTTGTGTTCTTGACTTCATTATTGTCTAGCGCATAGAGACCTCGTTTATTTGCGCTATATAAATCCATCTATTATTATTATTATTATTATTATTATTATTATTTTGAGAATATGGAAATTGGGTATACCTTAATTAAAAAATGGTGCTTTTGTAGTGGGGGGGGGGGGGGGATATTAAATCGCTTGCTAAATGCAGGGTGGCAGATATTGGCAGCTAAACTTGGCATTAACGTAAAGCTTAGGCTCTGCCAGAAATGTTGATGTCAAAAGCATGACGAAAATCGCCGGCAATTCTTACTTTTAAGTTGGTTTTATGAAAAAAATGTTTTTAAGCGTTTTTGGCTCATATTTAATGTCCTTTATTCTAAAAGTATACCAATAATGTCATTTTTTATTTTACTATCTAATTTAGTTAACAATAGGTAAATACTGGAAGAAGTATCAAGTTGACTGCTTTCATCTAAGTAAAGTCCTAGGGAGTTTTTCAAAACTGTCAATTTTATCATTTTACGAGTATAAAACTTTTTCATGTTTACATGGTTATATCACACTATGAAAATTCACTAAATATGAAATTATTGGTGGATTAATATAATTTAGGATGTTCTCGACCTCAAACAACCTTTAAAAGTTGAAGTTGTCACATTAACTATTTTCGACTTTTGGCACACTTTGAATTGATTCTGGCCCACTGTGCACCGGTTCTCGTCCGATCACCGAATTTAAGCAACGTCGGGCCCGGTTAGTACTTGGATGAGTGACCGCCTAAGAATACCGGGTGCTGTAGACTTTTTACATTCCCCTACCCCCCACCCCAAATGGCTTGATGTTTACTTACCGTTAAAAATGTTTTTCTTTTTCTTAACAGTTTCATTATGTATATTGCCACGTTATAATCGTCAACTATTTTCTAAATTCTAAAGTAGGGGTGCGTGAGAGTCCACACGACCTCGGACCCACATAGTTGGGGCTGAGGTGCAAACATTTTGAGAATATGGACCTCTAAGTGCCCGGAAATTGCACTCTTATACCTTAAAAATCATACAGGTACTATTATGTTCATATCAACAATACGCAATTAATTCGTTGGTGTTAGGCCGGTTCGAGGGTCGTTTGAACAAAACGGCAGTCTTCTTCTGTCTAAAGCATCCTAGTTAGTGCCGTAGTAAAATTGTTGGTTTATTGTTCAACACCGGTGTTTGTAAAAAAATGCACTCACGCAGCTAGCAGAGTGGTCAGGGGAATCAGAGGAAATCCCCGCCAGACAAGCGCGTGTTTATATGAAACGTCATCAATCACAGAGCTTCAGGATTAGATAATTATGCTATATGCCGAGATTAACTATGATTGGAAATACCACTCACATGTCTACGGCCATACTACGTTGAAAACACCGGTTCTCGTCCAATCACCGAAGTTAACCCAGGTAACAAGCCCATAAGGGACCCATATGGTGCCCATATGCAGATCTATATGGGTACCATATGTGAAATCCTTGAGGAAACATCCGGATTCTGCACCCAAGTTCCATGTGGGACCCATATGATTTAGCCCACATAGCCCAGATATAATCCATTTGGGGCCCACATGGAACCCACATTAATTTGTATGTGGGTGGCATATAGGTTTCCCATATGGGACCTATATTTTCTGACCCATATGGGTACCATATGTGCTATCCTTGAGGAAACCTCCGGATTCTGCACCCAAGATCCATGTGGGGCCCATCTGATTTAGCCCATAGCCCAGATATAACCCATTTGGGGCCCATATGGAACCCACATGCATTTTTACATGGGTGGTATATGGGTTTCCCATATGGGACCTATATTTTCCGACCCATATGGGTAACATATGGGCTATCCTTGAGGAAACCCATAGCCCAGATATAACCTATTTGGGGCCCATATGGAACCCACATGCATTTTTACATGGGTGGTATATGGGTTTCCCATATGGGACCTATATTTTCCCGACCCATATGGGTAACGTATGGGCTATCCTTGAGGAAACCTCCAGATTCTGCATCCCAAGCCCCATGTGGGTCCCATGTGGTTTAACCCATAGCCCAGGTGTAACCCATTTGGCGCCCATATGGAACCTAGATTTCCCAAACCATGAGTATGATATGGACTAGCCCTTAAGACACCCTCCGGATTCTGCACCCAAGCCCCATGTGGGGCCCACATCTTTCAGAGAACCCATATGAGGCCAACATGGTACCCTCATGCATTTGTACATGGGTGGCATACGGGATTCTCACATGGTACCCATATGCAATTGCACATGGGTGGTATATTGGGCCCATTATTTTCTGGCCCATATGGATGTAATATGGGTCTGCCCATATGGGGCCCCTCGTATTCTCCACCAAAGCCCCATGTGGGACAAACATGGTACCCATTGCAACTGCACATGGGTGGTATATAGGTGTCCCATATGTGGGGCCCATATTTCCTCGCTTATATGGATGGCATATTGGTTTGCCCATATGGGAGCCTGTATGGTTTAGCTGACACGGCCCAGAGAGAAGAAATATGGAGGACACACATTTCTGACTTGGCTTCTAACTCAGGTTTGAACATTGGCTGAGTCGATGACCATGAGCTAGGTGTACATTTCAACAAATTACTCCTTGTCTGAAAATAAAACTTTTCAATTGTACGTATAGTACAAAATATTTTCACTGCAATGATTAAAACAAAACGGTTATTTCATTTTAACACATCAATCAATTTATTTATTTTGTAGAGAAAGCAATATTGTCAATTGCAAATACAAATAGTGGTAAATGAAATCAAAATTTCTTAATGTCCCTTAATAACTATACAATTCAATTTCTCCAGCTCCTTGGAAAGTAAGAATATTCCATCATTTTGATCGCATTGGGAATATCACATATTTAACGTCTTTACAGATTATGAATATCATCAAATTGATAGGGTCCATGCAAGAGTGTATCAATAAGAATCGTCAATAGTTTCACCATGAATCATAGAAACAGAAGTACGAATGCCTTATTCCCTCATACTTTTCACAAAGGTTATTAAGAAAGTATTCAATCGCCTCCTTTTTTTCACATCTAGTTGCATCGTCGCATTTCAGAATTCTGCAAACTGGCCCTAGGAAAAAAAAAGAAGACAGGTCTAAAAATAATAGCATTTAAGATATACTCACTTAGATTTATAAAAAAAAAAAAAAAAAAAAAAACATGCAACACAAATAAAATATTGAAAATTAGTGCTTTCATTGACTTTGGTTTTTGTGAAAATTTACTTTAGGTCTGAACTATTGATATAGGTGACATGTCTCATAACAACTTTGGGATTACGCACAATAATCACAGCACAATTATGGCAAATTATTACATTTATTATGCATTAGAAGTGTGAAGTGAATGTGAATAAGAAGATCTAATTTTAATTACGATAAAGTATTTTTACTGGGCTTCAGCATTCGATTTACCCAGTATCGCATCGCAAAATGTGACATGTTT